TTAGGGACCCAGGGCTCATGGATTTCTGTATTTATGTTTATTTTTACATGTGTAGTGTGTAACAGTTGCTGTTGTAATGCAGTGTATCACCACATGGCGGCACCTCCTGTCTCATGACTGGTGTATCACCCCCTTTTTGTTCTTCTTCGTGCTCTCCCTGTAATGGATGCTCCCATGTGTACGTGGACTAGTGTGCTCTCGAGTAATGTGTGGTAGAGGTAACACTTTTATTTTTGATATTCTAAATAAATGAGTACTTTTGGAAAGTCAGAAGCTGTTGCTCATTCGCTATCCACCTGCACACCTCCGCGGCTGTTTCCAGCACTGCGCTCTTCTGGACAGAGATTTCGGATGTTGTTCCTGGGATCTGCTGGAGCCACTCTCCTCCCTTGGGAGTCATTGTACCTAGTGCTCTGATTACCACTGGAAAGACTGTTACCTTCACACTCCGCATCTTCACGACCTCTTCTCAGAGCCCTTGGTACTTCTCCAGCTTCTTGTGTTCCTTCTTCCTGATGGTGCTGTCATTCGGTATTGCTACATCTATCACTATGGCCATCTTCTTCTGCTTGTCTACCACCACTATGTCCAGTTGGTTAGCCACCACCAGTTTGTCTATCTGTATCTGAAAGTCCAACAGGATCTTAGCTCGGCCATTCTCCACAACACTAGAGGCCATCTTCCATACATCTTCCAGATGTATAACAATGATAATATAATGATTATATGGTAAGTTTTGTTAACAAGCAAGTCACAGGGCCTCTCAGGTAGACTGAAAGAAACCTAAAAAAAAAAAAAAAGGCAGAGAGGAAAGAAAACTACTGGTTGATGGAGACACACACCTGCATCATGTCATCAGTCTATAAAATAATAAAATTGACCCCACCCAAAGATCAATAATGTCACGTTCGATTGCAGGGACTCAAGCGCAGAGGAGGTTGACGTTTCTAAACACAGAGTTTATTTACAACACCAGTGCAGAATATATACAGTGAGAGGGGAAAATCCAGGGTTCCATGGGTCCAAGGGGAAACTCTCTCTCGCACACGTTCACGTCTTCTTGTCCACACACTTACACATCCATACAGTGGGAAAGTCACAGGTCCGAGAAGTGAAACTGTCACACAGGAGAGGAAAATTACTCACAGTCTCAAAAACAAGCACAAATTCACGGGAGCTGAGAGGATCACTCACGTGTCAAGCACAATCATCCAGCGATGAGAAGCACAGCGTCCCAGCCTTAAATGGTGGGCATACAATGGCAACTTAATCGCGCACAGGTGTGTGTGGACCAAGGGCGGGAGCCCGCAGTGAGCTCCACCCAGGCAGAGCGGTGAAGAAAGAGCGAGAGAGAAACAATACACATGTAGCCTTGCGGAGCCGGCTAGGTAGACACGGGGACCAAGACAATTATTGGTGAACAAACTGTGTACTAATGTAGACTCACTCTGTGGATGGGGTCTCTTCACCCAGTAGTAACCAACAATGGCCAGTGTAGTGCAGATCATTCCTGTTATGATCACAGACCCGGGAGGTGTCACACTTCCTGCTTTCAGAGTCATGCTTCCAACAGAGAAACATACATTTGCCCTAAAAATTTAAGCGAAAGAATAAATGAATTCATTTCAGATTCGCATTGCCACAAAGTGTTATGAAACGGCTGTGTGCAGGCAGGAAAAGGACCCAAAGTGCAGAGGGTAGATAAGGAAGATCACGACAAAGACCAAAGAGAACACAGGGCTAATATCAGTGTTGGGGAGTAACGGAATACATGTACCGCCGTTACGTATTTAAAATACAAAATATGAGTAACTGTATTCCGTTACAGTTACCGTTTAAAAAGGTGGTATTCAGAATACAGTTACTTTGTTGAAATAAATGATTACACAGCGGTACTTTCCTGTTTCATATTGTGGCGGGTCAGGACTGTTTGGGTTTTGTTTGACAGCTATGTTCTGTTGTTGCAGGCGGCAGCGTTACGGTTGCCATGGTTACAGGGTGACACGCTCTCTCTGCGACTGTGTGTTTCCTGGGTGAGAGAGCGCCTTTTTGTTGTTGTTGTTGTTGTAGCTAATAGGCAGAGTGTTACAGGCATAGCCCTAAAGAATGTAGCCTGATGGGCAGTGTAGTCCGTGCTGCAGGGAGAATGGACTGCCATTCTCGTTATGTGTCTGTGAGCGCGAGGAGGGAGAAAAAGGAAAAGTATGAGCTGTCACCGAGCAGAAACGGGAGCTGGAAGCATGTAAATATAATAATAACCACTGCAGCCAAGAAGAGAGCCTGACGAGCCCAGTTGTAAGTAAGCTATTAAGATTCGACTGTACACTGTGTTCGTGTTTTCCTCCAAAAACAATAAGTTCCATTGGAGCAGCCTTTCAACTGTCTCTTGCTAGCAAAGTTGACCCAGACAACAAAGTAAAGCTAGTTTTCAGGTATGAGCCCGACACGAACCCGCCGTATTAGCCAGAGGTCCCTTTACTACGGTTCGGAGCCGCGGAACTTCAGTAATAGTAATAAATCACACAGCAATAGTACATTCACGTTGTTGTAAACAGCATGATAATATATTAAGTAATCCAAAGTATTCAGAATACGTGACTCTCATTGAGTAACGTAACGGAATACGTTACAATATACATTTTGGGGCATGTAATCTGTAGTGGAATACATTTTAAAAGTAACCTTCCCAACACTGGCTAATATACACAGACGGAGCAATCAGGGAATGAGAGACAGGAGGGAAACACAGCTGGGACAAATCAGGGCTGATGAGACAAAGGAAACAAAACCAGACGCATTAACATGAGACACGGACTGTCAAAGTAAAACAGGAAACATAACACAGAGACGCGGACTTGACAAGGGGATACTGCTGACAGGGGAGACAGAGCAACTAGAGAACACAGAGACATAAACCATAACACAGAACTCTAACAAAGAAACCAAAGACTAGAAATGATAAATAATATCAAAATAGATTTCAATATCAAGTTCAATAATATAATAAACTCAAAACTCTGAGTCAACAACCCAGGCACCCTAACACAAAGCAGTAAAAAAATAAAATAAAATGCCTGCATCACCATGTGCTAAGACATCATCAGTACCACAACATTATTGTGATTAAAACACAATTAGTAACACTTTTTAACTAGATGTAAATAAAAAGCAGATACCCATTCCAGGTTTGTTAGGGTGTCCGGTGAAACAAAACGACTTCCACTCCTCCAAGCAAAACAAAGAATTGCTTTTAAGAACACATATGTCTGCATAACTAAATGCTGAGACATGCCAAATCCATAAAAATTGTTTAATTGAAAACCCCTTATGATTTGATTAAAATCCCAGTTAAAAACATATAAACGCACATAACCCCGAACACACCTGAACATGCACACGTACACGCACAAAACCTGTCAAACCGGTTTGGTGGCCGCCATTTTGTTTTACCGACATTATATTACTACTCAAGTATAATAATTATCCACCCCAGGATGACCTTGTAGATCACTTTCATATGTAGCCTGCTCAAGCATATAACCGCATACATGCCAACCTAATGACATTTACACTAAAACTAACAAATACTTTACCACATTTTTATGTATTAAACTATTTCATAAACAATAAGATATTGACTAAAATTATGTCTATCCATCCATATGTAGCCAGATGGGCTACTCACCTTTCTCTTTTTCTCTCTCTCTCCCTCGCTTGCTCTACCGCTCTCTCCTGCGCTCGCTCTCGGTTACGCAACTAGGTTAATTGTGAATCCACCTGCATATTGATTGCAGGGCTGCGTTGGTCTGTATAAAAGGAAGCTGGTTTTCTCTTGGATTATTCCTCCCGTGCGTTTGGCGAAAAGCAGCAGTCAATGCTGACACACGGCTGTTTTACTGTTTTATTATTTTGCTCCTGCTGTTTTTGCCTTGCCTCATTGGGGCTTTGTATTTTTTTTTTTTTTTTTGATTAGGGCTTACCTTTCTTGGTTTGCCTGGTTTCATTTAGCCCATTCTGGAGTATTGTCTGCACCCTTGCTTCTGTGGCTGGCTAGAGTGATCTTCAAATATTGCCTCCGCTGGCTTCTCCCAGTTTGTGGGGAACTACACCGGACTGATCCAGGCTTGGACAATTATAGCCAGCAAAAGCTGTGGTTTGATTGAGTGTGTGTGTGTGTGTGTGTGTTCGTTTATTAAAGCTATTAAAGATTGAAGTGTCCTTTTATTCTTTTAATGTGTTGTTCTGTGTTTTATTTCAGTGAACGGAGGACGTGCCAGTGGCCCTGGGACCTCAGGTGGTGGGTCGTTTTCACACTTTCTTTTGTACAGCACTGGGTGCCGGCTGTAGTGATTTTCTTTTTGTGTGGTTTTCTTATGGGTCCACGGCTGCTGATAAGTCCAAGTTCCATAATTGTTTTATTGTAACTTTAGGACACTGTTAACAACGACGCTACATTTCATTTTCTTAATATTTTACTCTTTATTTCTTTAACTATAAATAAAACTGTATTAATATTGGAGCCAACCTGCCTCGGTGTGCATCCTTGAATCTGTGCGGCCTGTTTTACTCGCTTTTATCTATTTTTCTTAAATATATATCTCCTGGGGGAGATATTCTTTGTTTTCTTTAAGCAATGTTCTCAAAGTTGCCTGACAGGATTTATGTTATGTGGCAAAGACTGTGTCCATTCTTCCGAGTTGACAGATTGATTAGAGCTACAATAGCAATGACCCAGTAAAAGCTGGGAGTCTGAGGCTCAGATTACTTGGCATGAACTCATTCATGCCAAGTGAAGAGAAGGTTCTGGAACATAATGTTTTAGAGGAAGTGCTTGGGAGGATAAGTGGAGTAGATCACAATGGTTTGGATGTGGAAGAAACATAAGACGTGATAGAATATAGTGAAGTGAGCATGTCTAGAGAAGATGTGCACCCATTTACATCTAACTTCGGATATCGAATCATGGAAAGAAAAGTAAAAAAAAAAAGTCACACATAGGTCATGTTATTTGCATGCTGTGTGTTTATAATGCATTATAAACCGAACATTTATTGAAATTATGACCATTTTAAACAATAGCATCAGATTTTGGTTTAGTGTGTAGCATTTATCCTTACCACATCTTCAGCATCCATAGCATTTGAACATATATCAGTAATTACAGCTCAAAGCAAACAGTGATGATTCTTAATTCAGATTATAAACACAGTAAAGTCAACAAGCTGCAAGTTTTATTCAAGTTAAATGATCTAGATGCTTTATTTAATCAATTAATAAGTGTTTATCTAATTAATACATCCATTTTCTTCTGCTTCTTTGTTTTTCACCTTGTGTGATGATTCTTTTGTCTACAGACAAAAAGCCAATTGTTGCTATCCTAAAAGCATTGAATCTAATGAATCCAAGGTTGCATTGTGATGGCAGCATTGATGTTCAGCAAGATCGTTCCACTAACTATCTTCATCACTGCCCTGGAAAACATGGGGAGATTAATCAAAAATTAGATTTAAGGCACACAGCATTTTTAAGCCCACAGTTAATTTTGTTATTTGGATGCTAATTTCATTCTCTCTATAGACTGAATATCTTGAGGGGAATAAATTTTTACTCATCATACCAAGCAACCTTTTCTGAACATTCTGTTGTCTATTTTTAGTGATTCTATGGGAACTGTACCCACAGCTTTCTGTTCTTAGCTGACAGGAGCAGCACCCAGCGAGTTCTTCTGCTGCTGTAACCCATGTGCTTCAAGCTTAAAATGCTTTGTTTTCAGAGATTAGTGTGTGACAAGTGGTTATTTGAGTTACTGTGGTCTTCATATCAGCACAATCCCAGATCACGGGTTGCTGAAATACTCAGACCAGTCTGTCTGGCAACAATAACAATGACACGTTCAAAGTTATTTAAATCACCTTTCGTCCCCATTCTGGTGCTCAGTTTGAACTTCAGCAGATTGCCTTGACATGCACTGAGCTACTGCTGTGTGATTGGGCGATTAGTTGAGGAGGTCTACCTAATAAAGTGACTAGTAAGTATGTATGTAAATGAATTTCATTTTCAGTCAGATGTATAATAATGATAATATAATGATTATATGGTAAGTTTTGTTAACAAGCAGATGACAGGGCCTCTCAGGTAGACAGGAAAGAAAACTACTGGTCGATGGAGGCATACACCTGCATCAGGTCACCAGTCCATAAAATAATGAAATAACAGCTGATCAATAAGGTGGTGACAGAAGGAGACTGCCCTTTGACCCCACCCAAAGGTCAATAAGGGACAAACGAAAACTAAATTGGTGAATTATTGGTGAACAAACTGTGTGCTAATGTAGACTCACTGTGTCGGTGGGGTTTACTCTTCCAGTAGTAAGTAACAACGGCCAGTGTAGTGCAGATCATTCCTGTTATGATCACAGACCCAGGAATTATCACACTTCCTGCTTTCAGAGTCATGCTTCCAACAGATAAAAATGCCCTAAAAAAATTGAGCAAATGAATAAATGAATTCATTTCAGATTCACATTGCCACAAAGCAGTAAAAAAAAAAAAACATTTAGAGATTTAAGATTTAGAGATTGTGGCAGCAGGCTATTATTCAGGCACAGAATAGTTTAATGTCAGCAACAAAAGTGAAGTAAGTCAATATACTCACATCTCAATTGGCTGCATTATCCTGAGAAATGTTTCAGCAGCTGTTTTTTATGTCTTGTCGTAACTGCTCTGAGCTAGCTTGGTCATGAACTAGTGGCAACGGTACTTTCCAACTGTTTTTCATACTTTCATTTTCATTTACACCTGCATTAACCCTTTGTTAGGGAGTTTTTATTGTTTTATTTGCTTATGCTTCAAAAGTTATGTTATACATATTTCACCAGACACAGTTTTCTGTAGAAACAGGAAGCTGACCCTGTGACACTGACAAGAGACCAGTACAGAAATACATATCCGCAGAAGTTGACTTGCATTATATTATTCTTAGAAATTGACTTGCAACACACATACTTTGTGACACACACACACACACAACTCATGCAGACAGCATCAGGACCTGCGTAACAGGAAATGTGATTATATTTGCATATTGACGATGTAACCTATAAAAATAAACGAATACTGCAGTTCGGTGTGATTTGCTCTGAGCTTTTCACCCGTGCGCACGTTAATACAACTTAAGTGTCTCAGTGTTGTTTACTCACCTGACTGTTTGTTAACTGTAAATCTCTGACACCCTTTAAACTACAAACCAGACTGTAATTGTTTAAGAGCCACCGGTTTAGCCACAGGCTAAAGCAAGTAAAGCTTCAAAAACTACCTTTGAAAACTTTGTCATGACTTTTTTTAAAATAAATTTTCATTTGAACAGTTAATACCAGACAAAATTAATAGGGAACGAGTAAACTTAACTCCACCCATCAACCATATAAACCACACTATTACAATTCAGTCTTACCATGTCTGTAATGTTCTCTCTTATAACTTAGCTACTTAGGCAAAACAACTGTTAAGGAGGAAACGCTTTTATGAGTTTTATGTTGCATTAAAGTATATGTTCATATTTTACTCTTAATAGGAAAAGAACAAAATGTACTACTCGCTCTGTCTCTAGACACAGGAAGCTCACCCTGTGAGAGATTAACACACACACACACACACATGTATGCAAAATTAAAGGAAACTGCTATGCTATAATTAAAGACGAACTACTGCAGCTCAGTGTGAGTGAGTCTCTCCCTGAGCCCTCACCCGTGCAGCACGTTAACAGTCTCCAAGTGTCTCAGTGTTGTTTATTCACCTAACTGTTTGATAACTGTATATCTCTGACAACAACCCTTTTGGTTGAAAGTGAGGGGCGTAACATCCATAAACTATTAAATTGTATTATGAAAAGAAGAAAGCTCTAACTTTTCCCACATTTTCAATATTTATTGACCTCGACATGGATGGCCACCTAAGTCATTCAGTGCGAAATCAGTAAAATCTGACAGTTCCCACCTGAACTTTGCACACGTTGTGCATTTGTATAATGCTCACTTGTGTTATTGTAGAGAAATCAGCTGACTCTGCAGGGCTTACGTCACTTACGTCACTATTGTTACTGACATGAAGCTATTCTGTGTGTGGATAATAGCCTGCTGCCACAGTCTTAAATCTTTAAATGTTTTGTTTTTACTGACTTGTGGGAATGCAAGTCTGAATTTATTATTATCTTTTGGTTGTTTTTATGTTGTCATTTTTGGACAGTTATAGCTCTTACTTTTGGAGGCATGACTGTGGAAGTAGCATGTGAGACAGTTTGAACGTTTGAAGCTGTGGCCATAACAACAATAACCTCACTGGTCTTCCTTGGTTACTGCGTGGTGACCAAAAGCATGAAGAGTGAGTCTACATCTGTACACATTTTTAACCATTTAGTTTAGTTTTTGTTTTTTCTCATTGACCCTCGTATGGGGTCGAAGGGCAGCCTCCCTCTGCCAATACCTTGCTGATCAGTTGTTATTTTCTTATTTTATAGAGTGATGACCTGATGCAGGTGTTAAACTGTAGTTTTCTTTCCCATCTGCCTGAAAGGCCCTGTGATTTGCTTGTTATAAAATCTCTTATCTTATTAGACATTTGAGTGAACATTTATTTAATTCACATAATCCCTCACTGGTGACTTTAGTATGTAGACCTCTTCAACTAATCGCCCAATGGCAGCAGCTCAGTGCATTTAGGCATGCAGACATGGTCAAGATGATCTCCTGAAGTTCAAGCTGAGCATCAGAATGAGGAAGAAACTGAACTGAGTATTTCAGAAACTGCTGATCTGCTGGGATTGGACTGATACGAAGACCATGGTCGCTCAAATAACCACTTGTTGCATACCATGGTATGCAGAAGAGCAACTCTGAATGTGCAACATGTTGCACCTTGAAGCAGATGAGCTACAGCAGTAGAAAACCACACTGGGCGCTGCTGCTGTCAGCTAGAAACTGAGGCTATTCAATGTGGTTTATAATGCATTATATTTTCATTATAGAAAATAGAATTTAAAATGAATTCACTTTTTCTTTTTTTAAATTGTCATGAAATTGTTAATAAAAATCTATGACAAGAAAATCTAAAGCATTAAATTCACCACTGATCTGAGCCTCTGACTCACATTTTTTTACTGGGTCATGACTCAATCAATCAGTTAACTTGAAATGATGAACATACTCTTTGCCACAGGACAAAAATCGTGTCAGTTAACATTAAGAACATTGCTTAAAGAAAAAGGAGAAAATGAAAATATATAATTTCTATCTCTTGCTACTTTGTAAAAAAAATAATAATTTAGTCTGTGTGGGTTCTCTCCAGGTACTCCAGCTTCCTCCCACATTCCAAAGACCTACAGTTAGTGGGGTTAGGTTAGCTGGTGATTCTAAATTGCCCATAGGTGTGAATGGTTGTCTGTCTCTCTGTGTTAGCCGTGCAACAGACTGGCGACCTGTCCAGGGTGTACCCTGCCTCTCGCCCTAAGACAGCGGGTATAGGCTCCAGACCCCCCGCGACCCTGAATAGGATTAATGGAAGAGGATGGATATATCCTTTATTTAACCAGGTAGAAGCCTCACTTAGATTACAAAATTCATTTTTCCAAGAGAGACCTGGCAGCAGAAATTACAAGTATACCACATAACAATATAAAAAGTAAAACAAATACACCTGACATATATTACAAATTACAAGGCAAGTGAATGCAAACATCCGACTCCTACGCACTAACAAAACATCGCAAGAGAAACAGCAAATGCAGTTTCACTGATCGAGAGAATTATTTTCTCTAAATGCAAAGAGAGAGAAAAAGTCGCAGCCACTGCAGTGTTGTTAGAGAACTCCTATAGGCTGCATCATTTCTACCATGCAGATGCCTTTAATTGGAAGAGGACGTGTCCACTTTCTTTATGATACACATGAACACAGAACAGCCATCACTGACTCTCAAAGCTCTGCCAGGATTACGGGACTGTAGAATTCAGGTGATCAGGTTTAATTAAACTGTTAGCAGTCGGACGTACCGCCCACGGGACATTGGATGGTTTAGGGGACTAATAGGACTGCTAAGGGGTTAATACACACATAATTTGATCCAGCTTTTTCGTAATTAATTATCAATCATATAAAAACATGTAACATATTTACCTAAGGGTTCCTGAAAAGGGTATGCATTCACTGGACACTTTAATAGGCACACCTTGCTAATGCCTGGGTTGGACCCGCTTTCACCTTCAGAACTGCTTAAATTCTTCATGGCAGATTCAACAAGGTGCTGGAAACATTCCTCAGGGATTTTGGTTCATGTTTATATGACAACATCACACAGTTGCTGCAGATTTGTTTGCTGCACATCCATAATGTGAGTCTCCTGTTCCACCACATCCACAAGGTGCTCTGTTAAACTGAAATCTGGTGCCTGTGGGGGCCGGTTGAGTGAACTGAACTGATTCTAGAAACCAGCTGAATTAAACTTTGTGATTTATCATATGTACAGTGGGGCAAAAAAGTATTTAGTCAGCCACCGATTGTGCAAGTTCCCCCACTTAAAATGATGACAGAGGTCAGTAATTTGCACCAGAGGTACACTTCAACTGTGAGAGACAGAATGTGAAAAAAAATCCATGAATCCACATGGTAGGATTTGTAAAGAATTTATTCGTAAATCAGGGTGGAAAATAAGTATTTGGTCAATAACAAAAATACAACTCAATACTTTGTAACATAACCTTTGTTGGCAATAACAGAGGTCAAACGTTTACTATAGGTCTTTACCAGGTTTGCACACACAGTAGCTGGTATTTTGGCCCATTCCTCCATGCAGATCTTCTCGAGAGCAGTGATGTTTTGGGGCTGTCGCCGAGCAACACGGACTTTCAACTCCCGCCACAGATTTTCTATGGGGTTGAGGTCTGGAGACTGGCTAGGCCACTCCAGGACTTTCAAATGCTTCTTACGGAGCCACTCCTTTGTTGCCCGGGCGGTGTTTTTGGATCATTGTCATGTTGGAAGACCCAGCCTCGTTTCATCTTCAAGTTCTCACTGATGGAAGGAGGTTTTGGCTCAAAATCTCACGATACATGGCCCCATTCATTCTGTCCTTAACACGGATCAGTCGTCCTGTCCCCTTGGCAGAAAAACAGCCCCATAGCATGATGTTTCCACCCCCATGCTTCACAGTAGGTATGGTGTTCTTGGGATGCAACTCAGTATTCTTCTTCCTCCAAACACGACGAGTTGAGTTTATACCAAAAAGTTCTACTTTGGTTTCATCTGACCACATGACATTCTCCCAATCCTCTGCTGTATCATCCATGTGCTCTCTGGCAAACTTCAGACGGGCCTGGACATGCACTGGCTTCAGCAGCGGAACACGTCTGGCACTGCGGGATTTGATTCCCTGCCGTTGTAGTGTGTTACTGATGGTGACCTTTGTTACTTTGGTCCCAGCTCTCTGCAGGTCATTCACCAGGTCCCCCCGTGTGGTTCTGGGATCTTTGCTCACCGTTCTCATGATCATTTTGACCCCACGGGATGAGATCTTGCGTGGAGCCCCAGATCGAGGGAGATTATCAGTGGTCTTGTATGTCTTCCATTTTCTGATGATTGCTCCCACAGTTGATTTTTTCACACCAAGCTGCTTGCCTATTGTAGATTCACTCTTCCCAGTCTGGTGCAGGTCTACAATACTTTTCCTGGTGTCCTTCGAAAGCTCTTTGGTCTTGGCCATGGCGGAGTTTGGAGTCTGACTGTTTGAGGCTGTGGACAGGTGTC